TTTTTAGAACAAATGTGACACTGGACCACAAAACTTAAGTCTTACGTGTCAATTTTTCGAAATTGAGACGTATACATCGTCTGAAAGCTAAATGAATAAGCTTTCCATTGATGCATGGTTTGTTAGGATAGGATAATTGATATCCTAATGATTTTTGGCATAAAAGAAAAATCGATAATTTTGACCCATACAATGTATTTCTGGCTATTGCTACAAACATACCCCAGCGACTTAAGACTGGTTTTGTGCTCCAGGGTCACATATACCTAATTATGGTGACGGTAATACCTTATTAGGTCAAAATATCATTTTAATAAATATGCTCCTTAATAGGTTTTATACACAATATTATATTAAAGGCAGAGTAAGTTCTTGCCTTATCGTTCCGCAGACGTTTTCTTCTTTTGTTTTTTAATCCAACAAACTTGGGTCTTTTAAAACCTTTAAGTAATCTATCCACAGTCCGAAAAAAAAAACGTGTGTCCTACAGGATCAGATGCCTGAGGATGCCAGCAGCAGGGCAAACCAAAAGTCTGTGAGCGCGCGTGTGTGTGTGTGTGTGTGTGTGTGTGTGTGTGTGTGTGGTGAAGGTCAAAGATCAGAGTTGAAATGAAGTAAACGGATATCTCCAGTTATTTCTGACTGCTTTTATAATTTGATCCAACCCATGAGTTATGGAGCTGTCATTCTGTCTTCAGCTGCAGATGTTGACTTTCAGGTTTCTGTATGTGCGTGTTGTGAGAGCAAGCATGTATATTTCATGAGAAACTGGTAACAGAGCATGATCTCTGTAATTAGTGACATGGCCTTTAATGGTAGAAGATGAGAATGCATACGTCCACAAACTCTGTGACGGCCACATGTGAGCACACACACCGTGCAAAGAAGACAGCATGAATATTGGGAGACAGATGCCGTACACACAGAGCCGTGTGTGTGTGTTGGACAGATCTGGTCTCTGGCAGTATATCAAAGCTGGACTCAAACTTGTGGAGTTGACCATGAAGCTGAAGGTGTTACAAGAGGAGGAGAGATTTTGAGAAAGAAAAAGAGAAAATAAATGAGCAACCAAAAGTGGAGGTGTAGGCTTAGCAGATGTTCACACAGAACACGTGCTTGCTTTCAAAGACCGTAAGCACAGCAGAATTGAACAGAACACGGGGGTTTCAAGACTCATGTTTTGAGTTTTTAATGTGAATTTTACAATGGTTTTAATACGGTTAATTTGGCTATTAAGTTTCCTAAAAATTGTGCTAATAAACTAGTTTATCACATCCTTGTGTCGCAACTTTTGTGTATTTGAGCACGCCATCTCTATCTTTCTGTCGCTCGGCTCGGCTAATGTCAGTCCCATGCACTGAACGCGCTCTCCTCCACATCACGAGTAGACACGCCCCTTATTGCTGATTGGCTACAAGTTTGTTTTGCTATTCGGCCCGAATCAGTTTTCTAAAGTATTTTTGAAAAATCACTTACTCTGCCTTTAAGTATTATATTAATACTAATTATATTTTATAAATTTTATAATGTGTGTGCGTGTGTGATATATAGTTGTTGTTGTTGTTGTTTTTGTTTTGGTCATAATGGATAAAAGAAATAACCTTGCTGTGAGACATTTTAGACCAAATGCCTAAATATGGTGATATTGTATTGCAAATTGTCAAAAAGTAGGGGAAATTGTCAAAAACCCTACATGACACAACACCTTAAAAACACATTACTGAAAATACAGTATTACACAATGAAACCCCCCCCAAAGACATCTGCCAGGTTTGTACATAGACTGACAATTGAAGAACTGTGCAGACGAAATGGCAAAATGCGTACGGCAAATTCTTCAAAAAAATTGTTGGCTAGAGATTAAGAGAACAAGAACAAGTGTGCGTGAAAGAAAGATGGAACACAATAAACATTTCATCGGCAAAATGCTGACAAATCACCTTCATCAAACCCCCGACACGCGTACGTCTTCATTCCGCCAGCATCTATCGAGATGAAGAATAGAGTCAGCGGAAAAAATGACGACACATTAACAAGATTACAGCGATAATGTAGAACATCAGTGCGGCAGTGAGACGAGGTTGATTATGTGCTGGCGTGAGCGTTAATGAGTGTGTTGTAGTAAATGTGCCCCGTGTTTGTGTAAATGTAACCCGTGTGTGTCCTGTGTTTCAGATGCACCATCCCATACAGATGAAGCCCGCAGACAGTGAGAAATCTAATGGTGAGTGTTTGTATGCGTCTCTTTTTTTTTTCCTCAGGTCGTCCAACTGTATGTTTGTTCTGGGGGTTTGTCTCTGTGTTTGTGTGAGGGACTGGGAGATGGATGAATTATTGAAACCCAGGAGAGCCGCGGGTCAAGAATAGTTTAAGCGTCTGCCCTGGCAGTGACCCAAACACATACACACACACACACACATACACACACACACACACACATACATAAGCCATATTGCTCACAAAAAAGATTGTATAGATGTGCTTAGGAAGTCAAGTGTAAGGGAGCTGCTGCTTGGCCAGGGGCCCACATTTCCAGAGACTTGAGAGCAGAATGATGATTTAACTATTACACCGTTACTACTATAACCTTCCCATAAAAAAAATAAAATAAAAACATGCCATAATATAGTCTTAATGTAGTACAAATTTGCTTTGCCACTGTTCAAAAGTTTGGGGTCAGTAAGATTTTTATTTTATTTCTAGGCTATTTTATTTCTTTCTTTGATCAGAAATACAGCGAGAACAGCAATATTATTGTGTGTGTGTCTGTGTGAGTGTACCCGTGTGTGTGTGTGTTTGAGCACTGTAACCCATGTGTGTGTGTGTGTGTGTGTGTGTGTGTGTGTGCGTGTGCGTGTGTGTGTGTGTGTGGTTAATCTTCTGATATGACACTGTGTGTGCGTAAAGGCGAAGCCTTTGTAACAGCACTTATCGCTGGCTCATCCTGTCACTGTTAAATGCGCAAACAATTCAAACAGCAAAATAAACAAGTGAGCTATCGATTTCCCAGAGTGCAGCGGCTTGCTTATCGGCCGCCCAGCGGTAAGAGCTGACACATTCTTCATTAAAAAAAATTGGATTACAGTTGCCTCTCTCTTGCTCTCTCTCTCTCTCTCTCTCTCTCTCTCTCTCTCCCTCTCACTCAAGCATACACAAACACACAACTGCAAACCGTCACCGAATATATGATTTCAGTGTTTTGTCTGTATTTTCAATATTTCCTTGTTCACTCCTCTTCCCGTTATGCCGATCAATTCTGATTAGAAACACCTGAAGGTTTTCACATTATCTCACTGCCTCCAAGTTGTAGGAATGTTATTTACTGTATGGAAACTCATTTCTATATCTAAAAATTTAATTGTGGTCACTGTGATATAATGTTAAAAATAAGTAATACATTAACGCTGTAAGATTAAAAATCACAGTTGGTGGATATGAAGTTTTATTTTATTTTATTTTTTATTTACTAGTTTAAAAGTCTTTGAATTTAGTAAAACGATGCATGATTAATCTATGATTAATACACACAGTCATATTATAAGATTTAAAGTCACAATTGGGGGATATGAAGTTGCAAGTATTTATTTGAAGTCATTTATATGAAGTTGCAATTGATCTATTTGTTCATTTATTTATTTAAGCTGGAAATACGATTTGCAAGATTATATTGTAACGTTAAATTGAGCTGAGTGTTTTATAGTCTTACAGTAAGCTGAATGCAAAATCAAATTTGCGAAAAGATTACATACAGTTCCAGTTCCACAGATATTTGTGGAGTATTCCATATGTTCAATGTACACATTTTATCAATTATTGATGAAAAATAGCAATACAGCATGCCAGAAAACACTACTCATTTAGCTGATGAGGTGAGCATCAAAACTACATTTCCCATCATTCTCTATGGCAGCACAAGAATGATAAAATACATAAATAAAGCATCAATTACACACCTAATGCACCTTTTCCTCTTCATTTTGGTGCATTAGCGCTAATAGAGCTTCCTGTCTTTATGGTGAACTGAAAAAGAGAGAAATAAAAATAAAATTGACCAACGCATCCATTTTATTTCGAACATAAACGCACATCACATCATAATTATGGCCTCCGAGCTAGTAAATAGGATCTTCCTAGGAGGACTAGAAGGCAGCACATGCAGATTACGAGCAAAAGAGAGCACTCGGGCGTTCAGGAACCGGTATCGAAGTCAAGGTATCGGTATCGATATCGGAAAATTTTGAACGATACCCAGCCCTACTCGGGTCATTGAAAGAAAAGATCAACGAGAACCAAGCGAAAATTAGCGGTTGTGTGTGTCTGGGCTTGATGTGCTAATGAGACGCTGATCACATACAGCCGTAACATATTTTTTACCACACGTTGGTCACATTTGTTTTCTCCACCCTTCTTTTCTCTCAGCGGTGGAGGACAGAAAGCTGTTCATCGGCATGGTGTCGAAGAAATGCAACGAGAATGACATCCGGGTCATGTTCTCTCCTTTGGGACAGATCGAGGAGTGCCGTATCTTGAGGGGACCAGACGGACTCAGCCGAGGTGAGACACATGCACATATAACTGTATTTGTTTTTACATTTTTAAGGGAACATATGATGGAAAACAGGATTTTTTCTTGCACTTTTGAAATAAGTTTGATGTTTACTCCAAAATTTTCAACGCAAATGTGAAACTAACACTGTGAGCTAACCAGTTGCGAGGCAATGAAGCATTACACTGGGTAGCCACGCCCACATTGAAATTTCATTGGTCCAATAAAGCTTTCCATGTAACTAAATAGTAAAAATAAATAAATAAAATAAATCCTGATTGGCAGTGATTGTTTCGCGTTGCATAGAATTTCACTTTTTATGTGAACAGACTGGATGTCACAACTGTGACATCATAACCATAAGCTCATTAACATATGACCGCCCATTAATTATTAAGCAGCTTGTGCTGTCCTTACGAACAACAGAGTGAGCTATCAATAAAACCTCTTAGCAATTTGTAACTATTGTACATTTTGGCGAATCGGCGGCTAATTTCGTTGACTTCGTACAATCTCATTTCACATTATCGGAGTTATATTTATGTTTAGGGTTGATTTTTTTTTTTTTTCCATAAAAAACGTATGTTTCTTTTGTACATTTCACATCATATGAATTCATACGAAAGCAACGCCTCATAAAATAATTACATTATTCTGTGAAATCGGGTTGGAACTACAGCAGTTTGACATTTAGCCAATCATCACAGGGCTTATTTAAATATAGAGGTCTTAAAGGTACAGTAGCAAAATCAGCCTGTTTAGTTATAAAGAGTGTGGAAAATGCTTATAAAAACTATTTTATGAGGGGTTTTGGTGCAAGAAACTAATTTTACATGTGGACTTGTAACACAAGTGTAGAATACAACTCTTTATATGGAGCACATGCTTGTGTTTTTATAATTCATTAAAGGGATATTCAAGTTTAGATCCATTGTGGATTAACATTGACCGTATTTTTAACTTGTACCTTACCTTAAAAAAAAAAAAAAGTGATTTAATTGCACTTAAAAAGACTTAAGTCTTTGGGGCATCTGTTGTACACTTTCCCCTTAGGCCTCCATTGTAAGTGCAAAACTGTCACCGCTTTTTGTTTGTGAATACAGCCATCTTTTATCACTCGTTTATCCTCCTCATCCACTCCCCTAGTTGTCCCTCCATCCTCCGCTCATTCGCGTTACTCCTCAGCAGTCCGTCTTTTCTCCTGTCCTCATGAATATTTTAATTCCACAGGAGATTAACTTTATTCCCTGAGCTCGTGGTTGGAGATATATTTGAAATGCTTCTATGAGAGAAACTACCACCCCCTCCCATAAAAAAGGATTGGATGAATAAATAGATGAGCAAATGTGTACGTAAAGGAGGTGTAAGGTAAATCCCACGGACTAGGACAACTTTAAAAGCGCTCTTGTGCCGCTATTAAAGCGTTCTATCAAGCATCATTGAACTTCACTATTAATAAAATATAGATCAGGCCACATGTGAGCACAGTGCCCTGGGAGCTACCCCACTTTCTTCAAAAAAACTCTCATCTTTCGCTCTCTCTATCCCTCCATATCGCACGTCTTCCTTATTCATTCTCTTTTGATGACACTGACAGTTAATTGCGTTGTTTTTGCCACAACTATTGGCACATTTGAGGGAAAATGTACAGGCAGTTGCTCATTATTATAAGAAAAACACCTGACGGCGAATTAACTAAATGGACATAAAATAGTTATTTGACCTAAAAATAATTATAATATGTAAAAAGAAAAAAAAAAAAAATATTATGAGATGGGGAACTAGCAGAGGAAATCAGTTGACTAGGACAATTATGCCATTTTGCGCTCATTATGCCAAAAGAAATTGACCCCAGAATGCTGCGATTGACCAATCACCATCAAGTATTCCAGAGGGCTGCGTAATAAGAATAATTAATCGCTTTCTTGGAAATACTTTCATTCTGTCTCATCGTTAACAGCTTCTTATCTCAACAGATCATAGTTCATTCAAACCGTGAACGAACTCTGTAGTCGCAGGTCAGCAAAAACGAGGACTTTGAGAGTTGAAAGAGAAAGTTTTTTCCGCGTTTCTCCCCTACGAGACTGTTTCTCTAGAGTTTCGCACCCTGCCAGTGCTCACAAATATCACCTTTAGAGTGTCCAAAACTGCTTTAATGATGAGGCTAATTAAACAACTCTTATAAAAATAAACGGGCTTTCATTCTGCTTTCACTCGTGGCGAAGCTCCGGTTCACCGGGGCCAGATTCACCCGCTCTGAAGACAGAAAGGAGGTTGTATCAGAGCGATAGTGAAGAGAGAGATGCTAATGAGAAGAAGAGAATAAAGGTATGTCCGCTGGAGCAGGTAGACTGTGCCAGCAGATATACAGCGCAACCGTGTGGTCGTAAAACCGCATTGCAGTGTAGAATTATTGCTGTAAAATGTAAAACGACATGATGCTTTTCCAGCAAATAGTAAATGGGTGGATCTTAAGATCTGAAAAAGTAAGGTATGGAACCTGTTTTATAAAATATTTTATTCAATTACACAGGCCTAAGGACCACAAGGACTTAACACTGCTTTTAAAAAAAACAATCACTGTTTAAAGAAAGAAAAAAAAACGTTATATAAAAATAATTATGTAAAAAGAAAAAAAAAAAAAATATTATGAGATGGGGAACTAGCAGAGGAAATCAGTTGACTAGGACAATTATGCCATTTTGCGCTCATTATGCCAAAAGAAATTGACCCCAGAATGCTGCGATTGACCAATCACCATCAAGTATTCCAGAGGGCTGCGTAATAAGAATAATTAATCGCTTTCTTGGAAATACTTTCATTCTGTCTCATCGTTAACAGCTTCTTATCTCAACAGATCATAGTTCATTCAAACCGTGAACGAACTCTGTAGTCGCAGGTCAGCAAAAACGAGGACTTTGAGAGTTGAAAGAGAAAGTTTTTTCCGCGTTTCTCCCCTACGAGACTGTTTCTCTAGAGTTTCGCACCCTGCCAGTGCTCACAAATATCACCTTTAGAGTGTCCAAAACTGCTTTAATGATGAGGCTAATTAAACAACTCTATAAAAATAAACGGGCTTTCATTCTGCTTTCACTCGTGGCGAAGCTCCGGTTCACCGGGGCCAGATTCACCCGCTCTGAAGACAGAAAGGAGGTTGTATCAGAGCGATAGTGAAGAGAGAGATGCTAATGAGAAGAAGAGAATAAAGGTATGTCCGCTGGAGCAGGTAGACTGTGCCAGCAGATATACAGCGCAACCGTGTGGTCGTAAAACCGCATTGCAGTGTAGAATTATTGCTGTAAAATGTAAAACGACATGATGCTCCTTTTTTGTCCTATCATTTAATTTTAATCAAAAAACATTAAAATGCAATTAAAACATGCAGTGAATACACTTCTTCTATGTGGAGCATCTTTTAATTTCTGAATGTAAAATTACTATTGGTATTTTTTGGTTAGGGGGTTGGGAAGAGTAACTTTTTATTTTTTTTATATTAAAAGTTTTTTTTTTTTTAAATATGTCTATATAAAGACAATATTAAAATATCGAATAATAATAAAATAAAAAATATAAAATAATTTGACCTTTTTATGGCAGAACAACGTTAGTTCAAATTGTGAAATGTCATGTGGTGCGACTCCCCAAAAACAAAAATAACATTTGTGAATGAATAATTAATGATATTTGTAAAAGAAATACTGTTTTCCTAAAAAAAAAAAAAAGTATATATATATATATTTTTTTTTTTCTTTTTTTTTTTCTCGATGATTAAGATGTCCACAGTGTAGGAAAAGTGTTATTTTTACTTGGTTACACCACGTCACACCATGTGACACTATGTGACATATAAAATGTAAAAAAATTAAAATTAAAAAATTAATCTTTTTCTGAAAACATACAAAGCCAACTCTAAGAACTTTGTATGCATGCAATTGGATTTTTAAAAAATTGTTATTATTATTAATTTTTTATTTTAATTATTTATTTATTTTTCTTTTGGATGTCATTGACCACTTATGAGATGAGCAACCACTATGTCCTCATTTCTAATGGGAAAGTAAAGATTTTCTTAAAGAATCAAGGTGGAAATGTGGTGGTATTTATCATATGTAATTGTGAATGTTGACTCTACTGTATTTTGTACGCAAATTATGTACTGTGGATCATGAATAACGTTAAAGTGTTTCCAGAAAGTACTACTTATTTAGCCAATTTATGAGCTGACAAGTTTGTGTGAAAAACTACATTTCCCATCATTCTTTGTGGCAGCACGAGAATGTTGCTGTAGGAAAAGAGAGAAAGTAATATGAAATTGCCCATCATGTCCATGTTATTCTGGCCAACAACATTTGGACACAGATCACATTGTAAAATAGAGTTTCCGAATTTAAAAGGAACCATTTACGAAAAGACAGGACGCCAAGTCTTTGTTCTTTCCTCTCCTCCATTCTTTCCCTTCTATCTCAGCGTATTCGCATATGTAGACATGTGAGAAGTAGTTAACCTATTAACTAGACTGCCCATGCATGCGCGTGTGTGTGTCCTCCATATGTATAAATGTGCTGGACTGCACAATAGAGTAGAGCTCTTCAAACAGGGCTGCGTTTTCCCCCAGCATGCCTCCATATGGCCTGTTCTTCTGGCTCCCGCTTGCACCGCTTCGGTTCCAAGACTTCTTGTCCCAGATGCCATTGCAAACTCTCCCGAAACACACACTCCCCTCCAGGGATTGTTCGCCTTGATTACAGTTGTTTAAAAAGAAAGAAATTGGGTGTGTTTGTACATATTTATGAAAAGACCGAATATTAATGAAACTGGGTTGGTGGGGATATCAATAGTACAGGTACAAGTAAAATAATTTGGTATGAAAATATTGTGCATATATTTGGCCTTGCAGTTCAAATTCAGCTTATGAGATGTGCCACTATTTTGATAATATTAATAAGCAGTAATAATGATCAGAAAAAAAGAGAAAATCACTCACTGATCTTGATTTGTTTCTTTGTTTGCCTGAATAATTCCATTACTAATTTGAAGCATTAAATTTCATGTTTTAATTTAATTTCTTTTTAAATCATTGTTTTAATTTAGAAGGATAGTTCACCGCAAAAAAATGAAAACTGTCATCATTTACTCAAACTGATGTTGTTCAGACGTTCGTTCATCTTCGATACACAAATATTTTTTAATCAAACCTGAGAGATTTCTCTGTCAGAATTCTGTCAAAACTTTCAAGCTTCAAAAAGTTCATAAAAACATCGTAAAAGTAATCCAAGACAGAGTTACATTTTTGGATGAACTAAACCTTTAATTTATTATTTATATTAATGTTTAAGTTTTTAAATAAAGTATGTTCGGTTATCAGTCATGTTAGTTTTTGTTGTAGTATCAAAATTAAAATCGAGAATCAAGAAATTTTACTGGTATTGGTATGAACAATTGTAATTTTGGTATTACAGTAACCCTACAGGTACAATGTACACATGTGTGTGTGTGTGTGTGTGTGTGTGTTAAAACTAGCCGCACATTCTAACCCCATACTGTAATTTCCAAGCCATCACACCAGACGAAACTAAAGAACTGGTTCCATTGCTGACATTATGTTGAGTGTGTGTTTTGAGATGTTGAATGTTGAATGTTTATCTGAAGCTGAATGTTGAATGTTGGTTGTTTTATTCTAGCAAGTGTATAGCACTGTTGTCTGCTGTGTTCTTTGTACGATCTTTGTTTTTTGGCTTTATAACAACCTGTCCAACCCTTTTGTCTTGTTTTGTTTCTCTCTCGTCTCTCCTCCTTCCTCTCCTCTCCTCCCTCCCACGTTCCTCCCCTCCCTCCTGCAGGATGTGCGTTTGTCACGCTGTATGTCTCTCTCTCTCTCTCTCTCTCTCTCTCTCACTCTATCTCTGCTCTGTTCCAAAACATAGTGAGCTACCTACCTACGTAGGCAGCGTTTTAAGGGAGCACTCCCGCTGCAAAAGTTGTTCCAAAAGATGCTTTCTTTTGGTCGTCCTTATAACTTTCTTCTGACCAAATTGTAATGTACACTTTGAGAAGACAATTTCATATTGCATTGTGTCACAGTGGAAAAAAAATCCTTCCAAGATGGCATGCAATGCAGTAAGTAATAATATAATTCATCACATAGCATCAATAAAAATAGTTATTTCTAATTAAAAGCAACCATTTTAATTTTTGCTTACTTATTGGAGTGTTTTTGTTAGCTTATATATGTTCAGTACTAAAATAGTTATGTCTAATTAAAATGAACTATTTTACCTAGTTTTTGTTTGTTTGTTTTGTTCATTAGAGTGTTGTGCTGTTAGCTTAGCAACATGCTAATGTAAAACTCTATTGTAAGTCAACTGTGAGTTGAGTCTGGCTTTCACATTAGATTCCAGTTTGTTAGACTTTGAACACACACAAATTTGTCACATTATCCAATATAAAGCTGCTGAGTTTGAAACTGAGCTAGTCTCTACACTATTGATAATGGACAATGCAGTTTTGCTAATGTGACCAGAGTATTGTTGTTTGCTTAGCATAATGCTAATGTGTACACATTTACCATTGTACCATTTTTTTTCTTCTCTGCTTTGTTTCGCTTTGCTAGCTTATTCCCTGTTGAAAAAACCAGCATATGCTGGTTAGGTATGTTTTGACGCTGGGATGCTGGTTTAAGCTGGTCCTTTGCTGGTTTAAGCTGGTCCTTTGCTGGTTTAAGCTGGTCCTTTGCTGGTTTAAGCTGGTCCTTTGCTGGTTTAAGCTGGTCCTTTGCTGGTTTAAGCTGGTCCTTTGCTGGTTTAAGCTGGTCCTTTGCTGGTTTAAGCTGGTCCTTTGCTGGTTTAAGCTGGTCCTTTGCTGGTTTAAGCTGGTCCTTTGCTGGTTTAAGCTGGTCCTTTGCTGGTTTAAGCTGGTCCTTTGCTGGTTTATGCTGGTCATGTGCTGGCAAAGGACCAGCATAAACCAGCAAAGGACCAGCTTAAACCAGCATCCCAGCGTCAAAACATACCTAACCAGCATATGCTGTTTTTTTCAACAGGGTTGTTAAAGGCTTGTTGCTTGTAGCTTGTTGTTAAAGGGATAGTTCACCTTCAGTTGCTGGTCCCCATTGACTTCCATAGTATGGAGAAAAAACACTATGAAAGAGAACACTATGGGGACCAGCAGCTGAAGGTGAACTATCCCTTTTAACAACATGCTAACATTAATTTCACTTAGGATGCTCCTAGGCAAATAGACAGTAAAGCAGCTTACTTGATTTAAGAACAGAGCCTCTCTTGCTCTCTCTATCTTCTTCTCTCTCATTTCTGTTTGAATTGGCGGCCAGTATTACTACCTTGTACAGATTCTAATATTTTCCCTATGAAGTTCTAAGTTGAAACAAGATGACACTTTTTCAAACAGAATTTTCCCTCAGTCACTCACTTTTCTACAGAACTTTCAACGCCATATTAAGCGCCTCTTCGCTCCCTGTTATTACTGTCAGGCATTGCCAAAACCACCCCTGGCCAAACGGGTCAAACCAAGAAGTACCCCCCGCACCCACCATGCAACCAATCTGCCATTAGCAGATGGGTCTCACGGTGACGATGTCACAGACGCTTTAATAACAGCCCTCCGACGGGCCTTGCATTGTGATTGCCCTGTAGAATGCCGGAGAGTTTAGCAGTCCGTATCAGTGCCTGTCAAAATGTCAAAGCTCTGACACACCAAATCAGAGGGTGCTGACAGCTGTCTAATACAGGGCCCTAACTATTTGACTGTGTGTGTGCGACTTTAGGTTTGTGCACGCATGTCACCACTCCACAAATTTCCCATTGCATGTTAAGTTAACCCTTGCATATACTCAGTTTTTAACACCAATGCCCGGTTTTAAAGACCACCTTTTAACCAATCAGAAATCACTGACACTATTGGATGTAAGCTGTTTTCTCTAGCCTCTGAAGGCCTGTAATTATCAATTTGTGGCTAAATTTACAAATATATTCATCCTTCATCTAGCTGACCATGTATAAATGATACCCCTCACCCACCGTAAGCTACATCTTTTCCGCAAAGGGAAAGTAATTACCCGGTTTAGATGAGTGAGTGAGTAAATTGTGTTGGGCTGTTGGTTGTTTTCGGCCATCTCTCCACCCTCCACTCTCACCGAGGAATTTGTGGCCTTTCTGAATGTCATGACTTAATGAAAACGGATATGACAGAGGGTGGTCATGCATGTGCCTGGGTACACGCATATAGTTGCGAGTGGCCTTGCTGCTCTAGTTTCGTCTCAAAGGGTTGTTTTCAGTGCTGTGGTTTGCAATAGTCTCCCTGGACATTCATCTCGTTTGATATGTTTGTCTCTTTTTATCTCTGTGATGGCGTTACTGTGTTTTTGTGGTGTGTGTGTATGTGTGTCTCTCCACAGATGCACGCTCATTTACGCCTGTATATTTCATGGGAGTGTGTGCATGGCAACCCAGGTCATATATCTCTCTAAAATTTAACAAAATATATATAAAAATAAATAAAGTATATATATACATATATATATATATATATATATACAAACATATATTGCAGAGCAAAAATATATTCCATTGTTAAATTTTCTATGATAAAACAATAACTGTACATGAGTGTAATGTGTGTATCCATGTACAATTGGATATACTTACAGTAGTTGTATAATTTGTTATTAGTTATTAATTATTCATTTGTTAATCCAAGTTATGCTGTGATATTGAGATTTATGAAACCTGTGAGGTTTTTGTGGTTTACAACAGTTTGGTGCAAAGACAAGCCTAATTACTATTTGGTCAGCCAAAGGAAAATAAATAGACTGCTCTATTTACAAGCACAAATGACACATTTTCATGTCTGGTGTGAAAGGTTAACAGGAATCCTTAATAACCACCACAAACATCAGACCGAAATGATTTGACGAACACAAAATTATGTCAAAATCCCTAACCACTGCTTTAAACCTAACCTTATAATTTGATTGGTTAATACAAGAGTTGTTTGAACACCAACATGGATTCAGGAAATCACAGCAGGCCATCAAGTGATCTTAGCAAGCAACTTCCTCCCAACAGTTTGTTTTGAGACTCTGAGAAGGTACCCCTCAGAGATTAAAGGCCGTACTGCAGCTGACCTTCTCTTGTCTCTCCGTCTGATCAAGAATTACGAGCGAAGAGAAGGCTTCAGCATCCAGAAGGTGGAGGGGAGCCTCACAGATTCATCTCCACCCACAGCTTACTCTGGTCCAGCTCACGCTGAGGCTGAGGAAGGCTTTAATCACCCGAGGGCACAAACCGCAGGGCCGGGCCCAAAGTCACACCGGAGCGCTAAACAGTTGTTAGGCAACAGGAAGTAGGAGATGCAGGGGCGAGAGGCCCAAATAAATTAATGGCAGAGGAGAGGGTTGTTGTAATAAAGCACGCAGACTAGAGGGCTGAGGCTTGGCCGTAGATCTGCAAAGTAAGTGGATGTGCCTCAGATTTACAGGACGGCCGAGTTCATTGCACATGCAGTGCGTGTAGTGGTGCAATGAAGGGTGGAGGGGAGAGATGCATAAATCAGAGGCACGGCGTGGAGGCCGAGGATGGGGATCTTACACAAACACCACACTAACCTCTTCGAACACAAAGAGAAAGAACAATATAACAACGTTCTCAACGGTTTTGGTGCACGGGCCATTTTTTATGGTCCAAAATTCTTACGACCCCATAAGCGTTACAGAATTAAAATAATATTTTGAGTTTAATACTCAAAATAAGCTCAGTTGACAGCATTTGGGGCTAATGTTGATTACCACAAAAAGTATTTGCATAAAAAATAAGTTTGGATTACAATGAGGCACTTGCAGTGCAATGAAAGTGAATATGGGTAATTTGTAAATGGTAAAATGTTTTAAATGTAAAGTCGGCAACACGTCTGATGAAGAGCCTGCATGCTCGAAACGTCACACACGCTATGCGACAGTTTTTTAAATACATTTTTGATACTTTTCACAGATCACAGATAATAGTTTTGATGTACTCTGCTTGACTGAAACCTGGCTAAAACCAAATTATTATATTGGTCTAAATGAGTCTACTCCACCAAGCTACTGTTATAAGCATGAGCCCCGTCAGACTGGTCGTGATATATATATATATATATATATATATACTGTATATATAAATAGTATTCATGTATTCATTCTCAATAAGGAATGTATAAATCCAGACCAAAGTGTTGTACGATTAACATAGAAAAGAAAAAACATAAAACAAGAACCCAAGGGATCAACTAAAACACACACAATCTGTCCTTAAAAAAAAAAAAAAATTTTAGGGGGGCAAATGTGAACTGGGCATGTTTTTGTAAGATTAACCACGGTCAAGTGTTACTGATTTTAACAGTTAACTTAAGCTAACATTTTAGCTTCATTCTACTACTTTCACATTAGTCGAAGCCTGTGGAGAGTATTTGTGTGTAGGAGAGAAAGACTGAGACAAAGCCAGTGAGTAATGAGATTTTTTAGGTCTCTTGAGATGTTCACACGGCGATGGCACCACTCGATTGACAGCTTGAGTTAAATCTCCTTTTTTCCACCCCTTACAAGTTTTATTTTTACCTCCCCTCTGTCTGAAAGCAGAAATAAGAAAATCAGCTTTCCGAATGGAAGGAACACTGTAGAACGCTCCGGGTGGATGTGAGGTATTCCACATCCAAGAAACTCTAAAATGTTCTCTTTCGCACACACACACACACCCTCGCGTTCTAGAGGGTCTGTGATCTTTCATCTTTTTTGTCAGACTGTGGTTTGCAGTTTAGAGAGAGCACAATAAAAGCGGTAGAGTGATTTATCAGAGTGAATCAGCACCTGTAAGGTAGAGACAAGAGACAGAGATGTAGAATAATTGCCTTGAAGCACTCGTCTCAATCTTTCGTCCTCTTGTGGCTCCATATGGCTGCCCTGCGTTAGCTGCTGTTGCCTGAGGAACATCTTTGATATTAATACATGTAATGGTGTTGCTGAATGTTCTTACTGAATGTTCTTACATTCACAAAGTCTGTTTTCTGTAACGTGCGCTTATGTGTTTGCGTCAAAAAAGGAGAAAATTCTGTTATGAATCTGCAAGGTGATGATTTCAATTTTGGTCTGTTCCTCACACAAAGCAGTCAAAGTCTTTAGAAGACTTTGAATATAGCAAGTTGTTTGTGTGGACTTACATTTTTGTTATGGTACATCTTGAGTGAATCTCATGCCCAGGTCAGATTTTATCCCAAACTAAGAAAGAATGAAGAAATTATGTTTTGCTTAAATAAAAGGAAAGCTGTTTTGAATCATGAAAAAAAAAAGCTAATTAAGCACAATTCCTTACCATAGTTCTTATTGCCATAATGAAAAAAATGCATTATTGTAATAAAAAAGATATTTAAATTAAGTATTTTTGTTGTTGTAACTGTCTTCAATTTATGCAAATTACATTACAGTAAATTACTGTATTATAGTAATTGGGATCTGATTAGAATCACAATGGAGAATAAAATGTATATATTTAAGTTGTAAAATATCTGTCTTTATGCAGATTTCAATAAAACAATAGCATTGTGTTAGTTCTAATTTAGTAATTAGAATCTAATGAGAATCACTACTGACAATAAAGGGAATTACAAAATAAAAATAGGCAAAAAAAAAAGAAAGAAAGGAAAGAGTCCTTTTGAATGAATGGAGTAAAAAGTACCTTTTGGACCTTTTTATATTAGAGATTTTTGTACGTGACATTTTGCTCAGCCTTTGTGGGGGAAAAAAAAACGTTTTCGAGGAACGTAATGGTAAGTAGATCATGAGGAAATGTTACATTTTGGTTGAATAACCCATTCAAGAACTAACACATCACTTGATATGCACACACACCCTTCTCATTATATTCTGACCCCCAGGTCTTTAGTTAAACGGGCATCACAGGTCAGCCTCATGATGTTTAGATTTGTTTGTTTTCGTCGGGGAGAGAGACAGAAAGCGCGAGAGATTAGCAGAAATGCGGCAGGTCTAGGGTACAGTGAGGGCTGTGGGGTGGGAGATCTCGCTCGCTCTCTCAGACAGATGATGAAATAGTTTTATAAAGCAGGAAATCGCTTTCCTGGGAAATAAAATCAGCAGCACAGCACAGAACTCTCATTTCACCAAGAACTCCCGTCGCTCCAGCGGTTGTGTGTGTGTTTGTGCAGTACCACTGCACATGATCATTGCTCTTTTAGATATTTAGCGTTCCCTCTTTTTTTACCCCTCTTCCTTTTACACTTTTCTTCTCTCTCTTTCAATCTGTCCACACAGGGCTGCTCCTCCCCCATGGTGGTGAAGTTTGCCGACACGCAGAAGGATAAGGAACAGCGGCGGCTGCAGCAGCAGTTGGCGCAGCAGATGCAGCAGTTGAACAGTGCGTCTGCCTGGGGCAGCCTGACCGGCCTGACTGGCCTCACCCCGCAGTATCTGGCAGTAAGAGGACACACCCACGCAGCCCTGCCAACCAGCAGCACAGCCAACGCAGCCGCCGCAGTCAGTCACTGTCTCCGCCCACCTGCCCCGCCCCCTCCTCTCTTGATCTCTCTGAGCCAGTCTTAACCCTTTCCAAATCTCTCATCTGTTGAACTTCGATCGCGCCTTGATCGAAACCAGTCCCCATACTCAGTTGTGAAGGGTGGTGCTGCCATTTAGAAGCTGTTAGGACAGTGGTTCTTAACCAGGGGGCCTCATCAAACGTCCAAGGGGGCCTCAAGACTTGAAATGATTTAAAATAAGACAAAACAAGCATTTAAATAAACTAATACACATGAAAATCAAGATATTCTTATTTTAATTCATACTCTCAAAAACAGTTTTTTGTTTCTTGAAATAACCAGGTTTCCCACTGTCTAGAAAAAAAAGTGTGAATTTAAAAGTGTGATTTATAAACCTGGAAAAGTCATATAAATATAAAAAAATCATATAACTCTAGTACCATATATATGTATGCAAATATACATTTTCTGGTTATGCCAAGCTCTAAAATATTTTATTTGATAGAAATTGTGATGAAAACATATTTTAGATAATCCTTATCTTTAATCCTTTTCTAGTAAATCACAAGCAGGCAAAGTCATGGGGGGCCTTTGAATATTGTTGTGGACAATGGGGGGCCTTAGAGTCAAAAAGGATGAGAACCACTGCATTAGGGGCTACAATTGCTCCAGCTTTCTTATTACTTTCAAGAAGGTTGACAGAGAGGGGACAGTTTTTAAGCAGCCTTGGTTTCAAAAGTATTTTTTGTATTTGTTTTCTTCATTGGCATTTTTAAAATCTATAGTAAAAAGCCTAATAAGGCCATGATCCCAAACCAACCAACGCTGAGATCAATCACCACAATTCAACATTTCATCCCATGGCATGATGCATTGCAAAGAATGTAGGCCTAATCAAATAAAAATGAAACAAATGTTTAAAAATGTAATTAATTATAATTATATAAATAATACATATACAATTAATATAGGAACATATACTAGGCTTGAACAATTATGCTAGGTCTGTCTTAAAAGGTTTATGCAATATTATTAAACATATTTTCCTCTGTAGAGAAAATGAAAGAGATTTTTATTTCCAGAACCCGGCTTGGGTTGTGTTGTGTAATTGGATTGGGTTGAGGACAATGCATAAATTCCCTGTTTCACTCATCCCCCTCTTCATCCGCCTAAATATAAAGAGGATATAACAAGGTGGTGACATTTACTTGCGTTTTAGTCAATAAGGACAGTGGGTGAGGATTTAAAGGACTATGCAAGAGCATTGGGACAGGGCCATCTCTCCCACTATTCCGCTTCTCCTTTTTCTGCCTTTTTTCACTTCCCTGTCATTTTGAGGTTACATTTAGCTTTTAAGCAGTCTGAGGAGTCTAACTCAATGTCATCCTAATCCTCTAGAGTCATTTAGAGTCTGCTTTCCTCTCCCCTTTCATGTGCAGAAACTGCCCAGGACAGCAACACACTGCCAACAGAACTGACGGGTGACTCTTAGCATGACCGTTTTCACTGGCACCGATGTATGAGGCTAATACCTTGAAGTGGTCCTCAAGTCTTTTATGATTTTGTTCCTCTGAATATTTTTACATGGCTTTCACTCTCAGCACTATGTGTTATGTAAATCGCAAATGATTGTTTTAAAAGACCACGGAGTCCACAGTTAGAGTTATTTCTTGACTAAAATATATAAACTGATTTAGCTTGATAACCTTTCTAACACAGTATTTTAATTATCCTCTCTGTGTTAAAGCCACAGAAAAATCAATAAATGTATCAATAAATCAATAAATTAAACCTTAAACTGAGTTTTTGTCCTAGCCAGTTGCATCGCAATAATGTGCTATGCCACAAGCCATTTTGTTGCGCTAAGAAGTTCTATTAACATTAGACAGCACATATGTTGTGTATTAGAAATCAAATATATTTTAATTGGCTGTGATTTTGATGGTATGAATACATTTATTACACGAAAATATTTTGTTTAATGCAAAACTAGAGCGGGCCCAATCTTAATACTTGAGGAACACCAGTTGCTAAAAAACTCGAAATAACAGATAGAGGCTTTTGTGTTGCTTTACTGTTGACAGACTGCTCACTCCAGACAACATGAAACATGAAAACAAACCACAATGTTTCATCTATATTTAGCTAACACTAGCTCCTTCAAACATTATCCTTATATATCCATCACCATAGGCCAATACATAATAGTGATTACACATTAATGGTCTGTTTCTCTCTCTTTTTCTCACAGTTGCTTCAACAAGCAACCTCCTCCAGTAACCTAGGAGCGTTCAGTGGCATTCAACAGATGGCAGGTGAGATACTGAACTCAGATCTGTTAACCCAACTAGCCCCATTGTAACTCCGCAACTAAACTTCCATCACCCCTACTAAACCATTCAAACCAGCTCTGGATTGCATTTAAAAAAAAAACAACAAAAAAAACAGTTTGACACCTCAACCCTGAGCAGATCCAGGATCAGCAGATGTTCGGCTGAGCTAAACATTCTCATCCTGCCTCAAAGTTTAGATTCAACATGCTTGGCTTTATACAATGTGCAGCACAACTGGACACATTGTAATGATTGTAAGTGTATGTGTGTGTCAGAATTTGATGATGAACTGAGACTTGATTGATCACATAAAAGCCATTCTTTCCACGCCTGTTCCGATGTGCATCAAACCCTTTTTTTTGTTTCTTGGAAGATAAATTTGTCTCATCATCAAATCACATCTCTTTGCCTGAGCTCTGTGAGGCTTATGGGAGACCAAATCATGATGATATGCCCCATCAACCCTCAGATGTTCTCAGCTTTTTACATTTTCACTTTAGCAGTTCTCAAAGAAGAGGAAAAATGAAAGTACCCTTATCCAGATAGGCCACTTATCACAGTTTGTTTATGCCATGAATACTGTCAAATTCGCCAGAAACCCGCAGAGAATTCAGCAACTCAAGATGGATTCCTCATCGAAGCAACATGATATGTTATTCTATCTTCACGGTGACTTGGTTTAGCACTCTGGAATATGATTAGTGTTTTACAACATCTGCCAATGAGCTCATGCTTACTCCAGCTGTTAGACAGGTGCATGTTGTTCTCTCTTTGACAGTTTTTATGCCTCCAACATTATGCTAGATGCAACAAAAAATTTAAGTTCCTCTTTGCTCACTTTCCTTCTTTTTTACATTTTCAATGTTTTTTCGCTGTCTTGTGCGTTACATTCCCAGTGTGCGTCTCTGTTCTTGTCAGGTCTTAATTGTGGTCTGTTTATCAAGCTGCCAGGCCTTCAAGGAAAATGAAATATTTATAGAACGCGCTCTCGCCTAATTGCAAGAAAAAGAACGTATTAGCATCCAAAATGGCTTACAGTGTGTGTAGGATGAGTGCCTTTATCTCCTAAAGCCTCCCCCCCCCTCCCCCGACAACAGTTTTGCACACCAGAGAGTGGCTTCCTCATTAATGTAGGCTCTTGTGGAGAGGGTGAGCAGGACTGTGGTGTTTTTGTTTACCATTATGAAGAGTTCTGGAAGCTCTTGTTTAAGTTTAGTGGTACATCTGTGACAGCCTCTCAGCGAGAATGAAGTTCACATCGAGCCAAACCAGCAGCAGCTGTCATCATAAAATTAAAGAGCGAGAAATTCCCACATTACCATAACAATTGAATTTTCTGGACCTCATTTTATTAAAGCAATATATTCTCCCAAAAC